GCTACAATATTTGGCTATGTCTTGGCTACTTTAATATTATTTTTACGTGTTTTAGCTGGCAACACTCATTCGACCATGAAAGGGAGCCAGTATTTAAACGAGGCTTAATTTTCTAATTTTTAACGATACAATAGCGACGATTATTTTAAAAAATTTTTGTTAGGCTTAACATTGACGAAAATTCAATGCGAAGTAGGTTAATAGCGATATACTAATATACTAATTACATGGGATATAATAATATACTACACTAATAATGGATTTTTTCATACTTTTCGGTTATCCGACTTTTTAATTATCCGACCGACCCCAGTCCCCAATTGAGTCGGATAATCGAGGCTCTACTGTAATTTAATTAAGTAAGAATCGTAATTAATAAAACATTAGCGTGTAATTAAAGCTACGAGCCTCTGATCGGTAATGTTTTTACCATAAGGACATAGTAAGATGTTTCGTTTTCGACTATGAGTGACGTCAAATAAGCAACCAATGAGAAGCGTTTCTTCTCTATGAGGCAACCTTATAATCTAGGACCTTGAGGAAGACTGGCAAATGATTCGGAGAAAAAGCCAACAGGCTAGAGTCTCCATATTAATAAGATAAGAAAGAAAGAAAGAAAGACTGGCAAGTTCTATGGGCGAACTTGTTCTGCGCATCAACGCCTACGTAGGCAGTTGCTGCTAACGCCACTCTGTAACGGCGCGTGAAAATTACTTCAATTTAACGTTATGCTGTGAATACATGTGATAGAAGTAGGAAATGAATTCAAGACCTTGGAAGACTGCAAAAGTTATTGTTTAGCTGTTAATTGCTCAAATGCTCGAGGGAAGCAACATCATATGTCTTTCTTTAGATTTCCTAAAGAAAAAGACCGGTAAGACCATGTTTTTGTTAATGAACGCCGTTAGGTTTAAAGTACCCCGCGTTTTTTTATGCAGCGAGAGTGTAGCGAAATGACGTCACGAGCAGTATTGGCCAATTAGAAACCAGTTTCAGTGTGTTCGCTTTAAAGCGCTTCTCGAGCGCTGCATAAAAAAACGCGAGGGTACTGTCACTCAAGGGAAGAAACCAGTATACTTTCAAAATTCCCTGCAATTAATTAGAAGTGTCATACTATCTATTCATATGCAGCTCCATTTATTTATTTTTCAAATGGTGCTTTTGGTTCCAAAACACTCGACGCTTAGATCTTTTAAATAAAACAGCAGAAATACTATATAAAAATAATTATCTTTGTGCTGAGTATTTTGAAGAAAACCAAATCATGAATTCGGAAAAGAAGAAATTAGTTTGGAATGCAGTTCCAACAATTATTCAATAAACCAAACCCTCCAAAATTACTGACTGGGAAACAGTGGCGTAGCGTAGTGGGGGCGGCAGGAGCGGCCCGCCCCGGGCGGCACTTTTAGGGGCGGCAAAATTTCACAATAAATAATAATATCTTGTAAAAATTTGAACCATTTCATTTCATATTTTTGCCGCACCTACGATTCGGACCGATTGAAATAAACACGGAATTTTTCATTACTTATTCTGTGACAAAACTGAATTTTAGTCTTTTAAATTGAGATACCTAAATAAGGGGGCGGCGAAATTTTCCTCTGCCCCGGGCGGTTGACACCCACGCTACGCCACTGCTGGGAAAATAAAAGCACCAAAACTTGCACAAAAAACAACTTAGCAAATTCTCTCTCAGTTTAAAGAATGTTCTTTTAATGAAGAAGCTGAGAAATCCCCTGTGAATTCAGGAGACCTGGATATCCCAATAAATTCAGAAACTGTTACTTTACCTATTAATTTATAAGCTCCGGAATTTTCCGCAATTTGCCTAGTACTCGTAAGATCACGTAGCTATCAAAATTGAGGAAGAAGTATTCTATGTTTCGATCTCAGGTTAAAGATAAGCAAGACATAAAAGATATTATGAGACAAATTCGTCAAGTGTGCCCAGGACTATCTCAGGTTCAGTTGTGTTTCTTTGAGTCACAAATCAAGATGTAAGAAATGGACATGCAAAGACAAAAAACTAGCCCTTTTTTATCAAAGCCCGGGAGCCTACAAGATGTTTCAAAAAAATATTCCTCCTACCAAGTATGCGGTCCGTAAGGCAGTGGATATCTCAAATGACCTTTGAACCAGGCTTTCAGGAATTTGTATTTGATGCACTAAAAGCTAAAGCAAAGTGTTTGAGTGATCGAGACAAAATGTGCATTTTAATGTGGGATGAAATGTCTATCAAGTCAGAGTTGTCTTATGATTTGTCTAATGATGTAGTTGATAGATTTGTTGATTTGGGGAACAATACAAGGTTTTTATCAGGTGTAAATCAAGCCATGGTGTTCCAAATACAAGGAATAATGTATTTAAGAAATGGAAGCAGCCTATTGGCTATGTTCTTTCCACTGATTACACCAAATCTGATGACATGCTGGTATTAGTAAAAGACTGGACAAGTTAACTGATGCTGATTTAAATATTGTAACCTTGCTGTGTGACCTTTCTAATCATAATCGTTCAGTTTATAATTCTGTTTGCGTTACAGTTGAAAAACCTTTTTTAAATTACAAAGACAGGGTGATATTCTGTATGTATGATCCACCACACTTGTTGAAATGTACTCGTAATAATTTAAAAAATTATGACTTTGAATTGGATGGAAACACAATTAAGTGGAATTAAATCAAGCAGTGTATAACAAAAGACAATTCACTAGCAATTCGCTTAGCATCTAAAGTCACCATGAAACACATTATGTTGCCTATGTTTTCTAAAATGAAAGTGAAATTAGCAGCACAAATTTTAAGCCATACTGTAGCGGCTGGGATAGAAACGTATGTTTCATTAGGCTGTTTACTACCTGATGCAGCTTAGGCTGCGTACACACTAGGCGTTTTTAAACGCGCGTTTTAAAGAACCAAGAGTTCTACATAGGCGTACACACTCAAACGCGCGCTTTTGGCCAAGCGCGCGTTAAACGCGCGTTTATAGATTTTTCTTAAAACGCGCGTTTTGCGGGCGTTAGCCGAGCGCTTTGAGATATATGTGCTGCCAGGTTACTGTACATGCGATCGCGCACTTTCGGGTAGATTTGACGTACGTTGGCCGAAATGGAGAACGATCATTTCGATACTGATCTATTTATTGATGAAATCTAAAAGAGACCAACCATCGTCAAAGGATTTTATAGATATTTTAAAAGAATTAAAAAACTTGGGTTTATTTTGTCTTAGTTTTGAATACAACGTCGCAAACATTCCACGTGTCAGTCTATCTCGTAATATTGGGTGCACCCAAAATTCTCTTTGCCTCTGCCATCGTCTTTTATAGCGACAATGGAGGAGGGGCACACAAGCAATTACTTTCAGGTCCATTTCCAAACTAAGCCAGTGCGTACGCTCCACAAACGCTCGTCGAACGCCGAGCTAACGCGCGTTTAAAAACGCCTAGTGTGTACACAGCTTTATACAGTACTGCAGATTTCTTAAACTGCAGATTTCATTGAAAAAATAGATTCACTTTTTGATGTGTTTAATGGGTCAAATTTAAAAAAAACCATTAAGGAGGCGACTAACAACTACATCTGCTCATGTGAATGTTGTAAAAGACAGTGCTGATATGTTTAAAAAATTAATTGTAAAATGTAGTCCCAAAGCAAGGATTAATTTTGTCAATGGATGGAGCGTTGCCATTTCGGCTCTGCTTGGATTATGGGAAAATCTTAGCAAAACTGGGGTTAAGTACTTGTTTACAAGGTCATTGAATCAAGATGCAGTAGAGAATTTATATTCAAGCATCAGACAACATGGATGGATTAAGAGTAATCCCAATACCAGTCAATTTAAATATTGTTTAATACTATGAAGAAATTTTTGCAGATGTTAAAGGACAAAATTGTGGAAATGATTTGGGACAATTCCTGGATATTTTTGGTAAGTCAAAAAGTGAGAACGTGGCAAGTACAGTAGTCACAACATTAGCAATACAATATAACAATTCCTTGCTGTTGCTACCTTCTTCTCAAGACAAAGATTTACCTGAGAAATGTGTTTTGTCATACATTACAGGGCATGTTTTGAGAAAAGCTTACAAAATTCACTTGTGTAGCCTTTGTTTAACAGGTTCTCAAAACCCCGTGCTGTCTTTTTCTCATCAGATATTTACCCATTTTAAATCATATACGTATGAAAAAGGAGATTTTGGAAGTTTAATTTCACCTCGCGATGAAGTCTTAGAATTCATGTCACATTGTGAAACTACCTTTGTGCAAGAGTTTAATGCGAATACGCATATGAAAGGAATTATGTGTCACATTTTAAGGACAATAGAACAAAACAACTTTTCTATCAAAATAAACGTCTGTTAAGACTTTCAAGATTTACTGGTAAAATTGTATATATGAATGCGTTTATATTATGCTACAAAATTTCTAAATCAAATGAGACAATATCTTCTACAACGAAGGTTGCACCAATTTCTACCAGTTCCAATTACCCAAAAATTTGTGAAGTTTTGCATTTGCCTTGTTAATTACAACGTCATAATATGGGCAGATTCTTTTCTGTATTACGATTATCATTTCAATATATTTAAAAGTTTTAAAATACTTTTGCACTTGTTTTGTATAATCTGTACAGTATTAAGTAAAACATTTCTTTATAAGACAAGTATTTTATTCAAAAGTTTTTTTTTACAAAAGTTTTACAGTTTACTTAAGAACTGCAAATACAGTACATCGTCTATATGGTGGCCAAACCAGCTTGGGCACAGGACACTGCACCATTCCATTGTTGAAATCTCGGGCAAATTCTTACGTTTTCACTAAAATTTCATAGTACTGTATTTAAGAAAAATACAATATGAATAAATCCGGCATCGTTTTGTTTACGAACCACTATCGTAATTCTACCGTGTTCGTGGCGGTAGTTTTCATATGGCGTCCGCATGAGGACGCGATAGTCGGTTCAGTCTAATGTCCTAGGTTCAGTCAACCTTTCCTTGTCAGTTTTCCTAGCTTAGCTAGGTAATTAGTTTATGGTAAAACCGAACATGTGACATCTCACTGTCCTATCATTTTTCATATTTCATCATTGAATTGTTTGAATCATAGTAAATCTTTATAATTTAATTTTTGACGTATTAGGTAGAAAGTAAGGATTAACGTTTCGTAAAGGTATGTGGAATTTCGTTTAAAATACGCATATTAAAAAGTTTGCTTAATTTTTTAATTAAGCAATCAATTTAATATATTTTAAAATACTTTAATTTCATAGCATGATGAAAAACGAAACCGAAACTATTGAACAACATTTTTATAATTTCTTGAAAGTCAACGGCGGAAATGAAGATATTGAGTCTTCCAAAGGATTTTTACGTCTCCATTTCCCTAAAGAACATGCTCAATTACACACTCTTAACGAACTTATTCAACTAATAATAAACAATAATATGCCTATGATAGAAAGTATCGAATTGATAAAATGCGTGGTCAAAACATACTTAAATAATTCTGAATTGGGAAATTTTATAAGCGATTATGAATATCTAATGAAAAATATAGGTACAGAAGATACTATAACTGTTTACCACCTATACAAAAAAATAGCAGATTTTATTGAAAATAAAATTGGTTCGAGTAACGTGCAGAATTTGAAAAATGATTTTAAACATATTATCGATTCGGAAAGAGTATTTGATACCATCGACACTTTTAGTCAACTTTTTGGAATTCTTGAAGATAGAGATGCGTTAAACGACAATGATGTCAGTCCTTTAGAACATATTTTAAATAAACTGGATCGGAATGATGATATAGATACAATTAAACGTGTATTGAACGTCTTTATAAAACTTTCACACATGCAGTATAAATGCAAAATATGTAAATGCCAAACCAATTTTAAACCATTTCGCATTCCAAATGAAGATTTTGAAGCACCTAAGCCTGCTGAAACATTGGTGCCAAAAGAATCTGATGGTAAGAAGTGCATGTTAAATATATTATATTGTTTCATAATTAATTAAGATTTTTCTGTAGAATATTTATGTTAAATTAGTAAATTTGTTTATAATTTCTTAAAAATTACATTGAATAGTTTTTATGACCAACAATTTACATTAGCTTCACATTATATTATGTACCAGTAATTAACAATCCAAATAGTTATGTAAAAATTAACATATAGATGATGATATTCAAATACTCAACTTCCAGATAAACATTTTAATACTCTTGCGTTGTCTCCATTTTGATACTGATGGCTAGCAAAAGAAGCTGTAAATGGAAGTTAAATGATTACTAGGAATGTAACGAATATTTGGTTACTATTCGGTATTCGGCCGAATACCGAATATTTAATCACTATTCGACCGAATACCTAAAAACAGGAGTAAGAAATAACAAAACCACAGTAAATTAATCATTTTGGTATTTAGATTTAATGTTATCAGGTTAGTGTTGTTTGTTTATATTTATTTATAACTTATAACATTCACAAAATAAAAAAAATAATATTAGTCACATGTATTTACAATTTATAATTACAAATATCAGCACACATACACACCTATTCGTTCGAGAATCGTCACACACATCTGAGGGTCTGACCCTGTCTATTCTTTTTAATTGCTTGTCTTTGCTGTTTTCTTTCTCTTTCTTCCATCTCTATAGTCCAAGTATGCCTATGCATACATCATAATACGCGCTCACGATACTTTCGATTCGTCACTTTTCCATCGTTGTTTTTCCATTTTATAATTACGTGACTCATAGCCTGGTGATAATGTAGAAAAGAGACAGATAGGACATCGGTGTATGTCGTAGTTATGATTTCACAGATTCAAGACAGCTTGATAGCCTGAATGGTCCCAGGCTTTCGCCCGTGCATGCTAAGTGACATTCATTACAGGCATTTAGCTTTCCGAAGTCTATGACAACAATTGTTTGGCATTGACGGCCGCAAATTTGGCGCCAATAAGCTGCTTCGACTTGTTCTATTATGCTATCAACTCAATTTCATATTTATTTTCACATTTTCACTTTGCGGTCTTTCTCTATTCTTTTTCCGTTATTTACATGTGTAGGTCATTTCATTGTTATTCACAGTTGATATCGTCATTTATCACATACTGCCATGACGCTCTTGTCTGAACTGTCAAGAATTAACGCGATTGGCGAAGCGTAGTGACAGTGGGCCAATGGAGAGCAGGTCCTGGCTATAATGCAGTTTGCGTGCCAATTTTTGTACTTGCGTTAATCAAGCCGAATAGTTTGGCCGAATATTCGGCTATGCTCCTGGCCGAATATTTGGTATTCGGCCTGAGGCCGACTATACTATTAGTTACAACACTAATGATTACTACTTGGCAGTTATTAGTGAGGTTGAGGCTGAAGTTTTAAACCAAAAAATGTGTATGTCAGACGTTCAGCACTGCTTTCTTGTAAGCCAAGAAGTTTGACAATAGTGTTTGGAATGTCAAGCATGATTCCACTGACTATCCAAACACCATTGTCAAACTTCTCAGCTTACAGGAAAGCGGCACTGAATGTTCGACGTACATGTTTTCGCGTTTAAAACTTCGGCCTCAACCTTGCTATTAGTTCAATTAATTACTTCATTGATATAAGGCTCTCATACACTATAAACTATGGCCACCCTTTTTAGGTTTGAGGGCTATTGTCCATTTCAGAAATCACTGACTGTACTTTGTATACAGATTATAAAGTAGATCGCCTTCATTGGTCTAATTGCTATAGTCTATATTATAGAGTATGTAATATAGACTCTATAAATAGACAATTTAGTCAAATAACAATAAAAATTACAAAACAAGGGGCTATCCATAAATTATGTCTGCATTTTTCTTGAAAATTTTAGTTTCCCTCCCTCTCTTGTTCCAGTTTGTCCAAGTTTCTGTAGCCCCTCCCCTCCTCAGACATTCAACAAAATTCAATTGCCTTTAAAACCTTAATCAATTTATAAATGCTAGATATCATAAATAGAAACAAAACATACAAGATATTTTGAAATAAATATAATAAAAAGCATAAACTGTATAAAATGTAATGAAATAAATGTACCTCTACTGAAGCTCAACTCCTTCCCCCTTCAACTTTTCTTAACCTCCTCCTTCCCTTCCAGTGTGGATGTCATTTATGGACACTCCTAACAATAACAATTTTCTATGTAGATAATATGACACAGACCACAGTGAGCTACCTCTCATAGCTTGCCAGTTAACATGTTTACCTTGCTATAAACTAACTCCATAATTCACAAATTCTAGTTTTCTGTTTTTAAAAGAAATTGGATTATATTTGATAAAATGTGAAATGAGAGAGGGGCTTGATGATTGTAACAGAGGGGAATATGTTATAAAATTTCAATTGAAAAATCAGTGAAAAAGTTTTACATAGGTGCTATAAAGCAATGTTTGGAAGTAATTATAAGAGAACATAAGGAAAGCTAAAGAGAACACAGCTATGCACTTTGGAGGGTATGTTTTGCTCAGTACCACTATAGTCTTAGATTTGTGGGGAGCGTACAAGAAAGGAAACCTAGGATACCAACATCTTGCTATAAATCATTCAGTTAACTTTGTTGACCCTATCATCCATGCTACTATACATTGCATCAAATCTGTTTGGTATAAGGCTAAGGAGAAAAATAAATGTCAGTTTGGTACTCGTGGAGTGTTTGAGAATTATCTTAGAATTTTTATGGTGTCAGCATTTTTAATGGAAACCCATTTCAAAAGTTTTGTTTCTCAAGTTTATTAGGTTTATCCAGATAAAGCTAAATAGTTGACTCTGTCTCGTCATTTTTCATCATTGAAATTGTTTGAATCATAGTATTTTTGTCATCTTGTTTTGTAATTAAATGGCTGTTTTCAAGATATTAAGTTTTCTACATAAATCTAGCTTTAAGCTTTAGTGTTTAGTAAATTTTTGTTACTTTTGAAAGAATAATTATGCAATTTCTTTAACATTATAGTAGAGTATACATATCAAAGACAGTATATTCTTACATATTAGCAAAAACAGTACATTGCCTACATATGAAGATCATTTTCTGATAAAAATAAAAAAGTTCCAGCCTGTTCCAGCAAAAAGCTTTTAATATTTTAACATTTTTTGGCTATCAATGCAGCCATCATCAGGAACAAACATATAATAGTTTTTAAAATTTAAATTCAACAGTGTTCCAAAATATGGATTAATGATATACAATTGAAATAACATAAACTATACAAAAATATATATTTATCATTATTTAAATACATAATAATATACCATAAAATATAATTATAAATACTAGATTCATTGATTATAAAATGATAAATTACTGTGTAGTTTTGTCCCCATAATGATTTATAAGAAATTTCTATGCTATTGATAAGTTGCTGCATCCTTATGATTAATACATGTATTCCTAACAGTATTTTTGTATGTGGCTGTTTTTTCTAGATTTTCCAGAGTGTTGGTTCCTGGAGATTTTAATGAGTTTGCAAAATGTGGTATATTATGCAGAAGGATTGCCATAATAGCCAGTGTTGTGCTTTTGCAAAGAACATCAGTATGATGTATAATACATAAGTACTGTACATCGTACTGATGTTCCTTGAATCTGGTGGGCAGATTTTGGGATGTGTATCCTATATATTTGCTTTAATTTACATTGTTTTAGGTATATTTTGTATGTATTTTTAGTTACAAATTTTCTTTTTCATTATTTATAAATTTTTTTATTGGTTTATGTTAAATTTTAAAATTTGTATTTTGTTCTTTTCAACATCCAATATTAGTTACATGAGAAACAAAACACCTTTTTTGCCGAGAAATAAATATAATTTGAAAAAACAAACGTTTTCAGCCTAGTTAATAGGCCATCTTCAGGTCAAAAAACATTATGGAACATTTACGTTCCATTTTTTCGACCTGAAGATAGCCTATTAACTAGGCTGAAAACGTTTGTTTTTTCAAATTATATTTATTTCTCGGCAAAAAAGGTGTTTTGTTTCTCATTATTTAGTTGCTGAGCGCTTTTGATATTATTAGTTACATGTTCAATTTCTTAAGTTATTCTAATTTGTAATTGAGGAATACCAATAAAATAAAGTCAGAAATGGTAATTTTCTTTGCTGGATAAAAAAGATGTGTTTTCTGTTATTTTTGGTTACCCTCATCTGGTTTCTACATACATTATTTGCTATAAATAATACATAATTTGAAATAAAGGAATTTACACTGCCATTTTGTATTAATTATAATGATTAGATCAAGTTTTCAATTAAGTTCTTTCAATATAATCTAAATTAATTAATTTGTTGCAGAACGGCCTATCTTTAGTCCAAATTTTGTAACATTATGAAATTAATTAGCCAAGTTATAATCTGATAGTTAATCCATTTGATCATTAGAATAATTTAGGCTTGGTTGTCTATATGAACATAATTATTTTTAATTAAGAGTACAAAATAAAGCTAATATTTTGTTTCAGTTCCTAAACAATTTAAATTTAGTCAAATTTACAAACTACCTTGAAGTGGTTTATAAATAAATGTTCAACTAATAATTACACAAACTGTATTAAACATCAAATTTTAATTCAATTTTAATCCAAATGTATAGTTGAAGAGTCTTATTTTTGTACAGTTATGTTCCACAGAATTTGTGAATATGGAAAGGTGAAATATATTGAAAAAAAAGGGAATTTAACAAATATAGAATTAGAAAATAAAAACATTTTTATATAAAGAAATTTTAATTTTATATGAAAGTACAGTAAGATCCTGCTTAACACTGATTTGATATAACATCTGTTCAAAATCTAAAAAAAGCTCAAAATTTATGCTGATTCAAATTATTGTGGCATTTCATTGATTTGTGTATAATATGATTATTCCTGAACATGAACCAATCAGCAAAAGGTGGCAATTCGTCATAGCACTGTACTTTCCTTAAATCTATGTTTGGTG